TGCGTTCCCATGTTCTGGCACCGATCGTTGTTGCGCGGGCGGGGCTGGCGATGACGCACGCTGTGTTCTGCAGTGGCCTTGGGATCGAGGTGTACTTCCGCGCCGGTAGGCCGGTCATTCTAGCACCGAACGAGATCTAATCATCCGACACATCTTGACCGTCTTAGGGTGAAGTAGGTAAGGCTTCTTGAATGCTATGCGTCCAAGAACAGTATCAGCGAGGTTGAACTCGTCCCAATCCAAACGCCCTCTTGACTTTATGCCAAGTTTCTCTTCGTCGTAAATGAGGCTGATGCATCTATCCAATTCCATGCGTATTCCCAACAAATTGGAGCTGACATGCTCTAACTCTAGGGCTAATTGCTGCCAGGCCGCGCCATGACTGACCCTGCTGTGGCAGTTTTCACAGATATGTCTGCAGAAGAAAGCGTGGCAGAGCTCGTGGAGGAGCGTACCAAGGCGACCTTGCCTTCGTTTGTCGAAGACTTTTGGAAGAACCCAGTGGTTCAGTGGATCGGTGACGTTAGGATCTAGTTCGATCAGGCAGCCGTAGCTTTTTTGTATTGTCACCCCAAGAATATTCCATTTGTTTTTGTCGTGATCGTCTACCCAGTCAAACTGGACTTGGAATGAGGGTTGAGGAGGAACAAGTTCCGCGCCGAAGAACGTCTCCGATAGATCGTTCAAGAGGCCTGTCATCTCCTCTTCAGATAGAGTCTTTCGCAAGTCTTTCGCGTTGAGACGCTCCTTCCAGTCGCTGATCAAGTCATTGAGACGGCGTACCCTGGCTGCCATCTCTTCATTGGGATTTCCAAAGTGTGTGCTGTGAAGCCAACGGATGTGCTGTTCTACTAGTAGGGTGGGTTCCGTGCAACCAGACGTGCAAGGAGGCTCGGGAGTAACCGGTTCTTCTTCAGGCGCATGGCGTTTGCCAGATCGTGTCTTGAACCACATCTTGCTGAATTTGGAGGGAGACATCGTGTTTGGCTTCTGGCTCTTATAAGAATATAATGTTGAGATGTGAGAATGCGAGATTTGAAAATGTCTTCATCCTTCCTCTGCAATTTTATATTACTTCATCCACTATTTCTGCACCAGCGGAAGGGGTCTCATTGAGAGTAACTCTGGTCGCTTTGCATCGATGCCAGATACCCGGCGTTTGTACATCGCACATGCTGAGTATTTGCAATACAGGCGTGTGATTTGGTGAAATGTTCAGCGATAGCCATGGAACGCTCGCTTTGGTACCGATATCTTGATAAATTTTCGCATTCTGATAATCGCAGACTGGTTGCACAAGTTGCAATCGAGCTCATCGCCCACTAAAACCTATTAGGAGCACATTCATTGTCAGCAAAGTCTCTGCGGGATGGTCGAACCGAAAATGTGTTGTAGTTGTTGTTCGGGATCTTTTGAGTGCCCACATGTATACGCTACAATGCGCGCATGGACGCTTGTGCTGGTACATTACATTCGAAGAGAGTATCATTGGACTTGCGCGCAGAAGACGGTAGTCGCAGTTCTGGACGCGCATACTGTCTTCCCCTTCGAACGATAAGACCCCTCATAGTTAGGCAGGAGTCCTCTCGAGGACGAGGCTGGATTTGCGCTTAACGCTTTGCTGTTCGTAGCAGGACCTGGGTCCGTAAAGTGTTCACTACCTCATGGTTTGTGTCGTGAAGAGCAGGACAGGGCGCATGGACTGGTGAATACGGTCGGCATGCCCGATGTACATTACGCGCGAGCATAGTATGTAATGAGACTTGGCGACGGGGTCAGACAGTGCGGTGTGCATTCTGAGTACGTCCGGCCAAGAAGTAGTGTCTTCAGCCCCCGCCGACTAGACGTCGCGGGGAGTCCGAGAGAGCTAAGGAGCGTGCGATGACATTCACCATTGGTGCATCTTGGACGCACCTCTACGCATGCGTCTGAGCAAATCGATGCCGCAAGCATACACACCCCACGTCTTTGGCCTCACAAGGCACCAGAGCCGTACCTGTAGGCCAGTTGCGATGAGATTATTCAGCCCCCAGCTACGGTGTGCATCGGTGACGCCGACTCGATGCAGTGAGGTTTGAGGAGATAATAGTCGTGAGACGATTCACGTCGATCCCCGAGTAGATTACTGTGCTCCCCATTGCGACAGCAGTTGAGCAGGCACCCGCGATTCGTAAGTAGCTTTAGCTGGTCGAGACAGCTGTTGGGTGGTTTCGCGAAGTTGGCGTTCGAGATCGACATGCTCATTTGCGACCCTGACTAGATAAGACGATATCGAGCACAGTAAGTGTGAGTAGTGAGCTGGGTCGACTTCAGCTCGGGCAGCGCGACTTGCCGTCGTCTTCAGCGTGATAGTGCGATAGCGATAGCGCGATAGAAACGAAGAAGGTCGCGAAGTATAGCAAGACAGAATTCTAGATCCGGTGTCCATGATTCGCTGCATTGAGCGACGCAGGGACTGATACTAACGGGGAAGGCGGAGTGGATCCAAGATTCAGGAGCAGAGGGAGATTGGAGGTTACAGCTCAAACAGGTAGGCTCATTCCGGTGAAGGCCTAAAACGAGTTCCGCTGTCGGGATGTTAGTCCAACGTTGACGAATCACAGACGTGTCGCCCCAGACCTTCGGGTACCTCAAACTGTGGCTTCATGCAAAGTCAGCCACGTCTGACGGGAGAGCACCCTGATCCCCAATGGAACTATCAGGGGTCGCGGTCAGCATCCGGGGCGGATCCACAGGGTGGCGAAAGCCATCCATGGTCGAAGGACCGAAATTAAAGAAAACTTCACATGTAACGTCGGAGCGGATGCTACCCAAGGCCTGTTAGCGTAGTGGACTCGACGGTTCGGAATATTGGATATAGGAAATAAGAAAAGGGAGGTTTGGATAGGAGAGAACAAGAGAAAAAGCCGCCGCGAGTTGCTAGGGGGGACGATGGGACGTGGCATCTCGCGGCGCGTGGTTTCACCAAACGTGTGGATGACCCAGTGTTCAAACTTCAGAGTTGGGTGCGTGGGATTTTGAAGGGTCATGTGTGATGTGCCGGGAGTTCCCTACAGCTTCAGCTGCTAAGCAGTGCCGATCCGTGTGATGGGGAGCGCCAGCGGCGATAGTGAGCAGCTCTAGCGACACTGGGCGTGGGAATAAGGATAGCTCGCACTGCAGCTTGACACTGGCGGTTTCCGGGACGTGGTTGAGATCCACCGTCTTGAACCGGCTTCTGAGGAGCTTCTGCCTCTCCTTCTGGATCGAGGACTAGACGCAGCAGACTGCGCACTCGTTGGCTTTGCTAGAAAGCTCCGCAGCCAGTCGATGGGCGCCGATCGCTTCTCCAGATTCCGCATTGTCGGCATCGACGAATGAGAGGTGCCGCGGGCTTTTGGGCTGTGAGGGAGTCCTTGCAGGCTTCCAGAAGGCAGCCCTTGATCCTCGCGTCCAGCTGCCCTCACTCAGCCCTGACTGCTGCCGTCATGTAGTAAGCCGGGAGCGACGATGAAAGAGCGGCAGTTTGGGGGCGTATGACCGCCGCCGTCAATTTGCAGCAAATGCCATAGTGTCCGCATCGACATGTTGCGCGCGATAGGAGAGGAGTATCGCCAGGGAATAGAGATGAAGCATTGGGAGCTAGGCCGGGATTGCAATCCTACTCGAGTGGAGCGGTTGAGGAATGAGGAGTGCAGCGCCAACGGCAAGTGCCCAGTGGCTGCTAGCCAGAAGCATGGTAAACCTGGCCCCGGCGTCCTAGTCTCGCCTTAGTCCCACGCCCCCAAGCCGCGGAACGCCATGGGCAGCGCCTTATAGCATCCTTCGCCGCCGTCATTTGCGTCTCTAGCTCTCTGTCACGACGTTGATAACATACCTACCCCGGCCGTCCATTTCGTCCTCACAACAACATCACAATGACGACCATGTTCCGCGACTTCTCCTTCGACCCGGCGCCGTCACCTGACTACTCCGCCTACGAAGCTGAGCGGGCAGCTATGAACGTCTCGCCCACGTCACAGGCGATGGACCCGCATTACGCGCCAAATCGCCCTCCCACTCCACCATGCACTATGGGCGACCTTGCCGTGCAACTCAACCAGCAGAGCCTTCGCATCGACACGACTGTCCGCTGCTATCCTGCCGGCCCTCTCACACCGGAAAGCGATGACGAGTGCGCGCCTTCCACCAAGCAAGAACAGCAGGCGCGACCCACCTACTCGCGCATCGCAGCTTCCGTTCTCCGAATGCAACGTCAACAGAGCTCGCGCATGCAGTGCAGCTCATCGCATGCCCGCGATCTCTCCAAGCTGGTCAAGATGATCGAGGAGGAGAAGCAGTGCACCGTCAGCGAGTCGTCTTCACGAACATCCTCTACATCTTCGACATCAACATGCGCACCTGGCAACTCTGGAGACGACGAGGGCGTCGACATGGACTACGATGTGCCTGCGTCAGGCATCGAGTCACTCGCCAGCATGCCAGTGTGGAAAGCCCACGAAAGGCGCGACAGCTGCGTCCGCGTCACCCGACCTGTGCGCATGCGCAAGCGGTCCAAGGGCAACGGCGTATCTAAGAGGCGGTCATCATAGTACTATCAGTCGGATTTGGTTACATGCATAGCGAACGGCGTTTGGGGTCTCACTACGGGCGCATTATACCACTTGATCTTGCTGGAAACAAAGCAACATTGGACAGGGCCTGGAGATGTATTATTATATTACCATCGGGTGGAAGAGCTCCCTTAGGGTTGAGCCTGGCGTTATAGGGTGCGACAAGCTGAGCGCTGTCGTTACACCCACATACTATATAATCACAACCATCATCAACATGCAACACACTCCCACTATGCTCTTATCGTAACTTATCCGCCTGACCCAGCACAGTGTTCCTTTCCCGCGTTGCTGCATGTTCCGCGAACCTGAGCATTGGTAAATTGGTGACCCACATGGCTGTTGATCGTAAGTTTGTGAATTCGTGCCGCATCCGTCCCACTCACAACTTCAGCCACAACACCCGCCATGTCTGCCCGTCGAGCGCTGGCACCGCGCTCCATCCACTTGCGCATCGTGCCACGTCCCGCCAATTTATCCGAGAGCCGCGAGATATTCCGCGTCCTCCAACGCTTCGGCGAAATCAGCACCTTCAAGTATCTTCGGGTACGTCTTCGCCAATACGTTTACTCGTTCAACACGATCACTCACACCGCGCGCAGTACGAATACCAGAACCCCGCCGACAATGTCGCCCTCGCCATCTACCGCGATGAACCCGCCGCCCAGAGCGCTCTTGACGCCTCACCCCTCCGTTTCGCCCTCGAGAAGCTCATAACCAGCGACACCGACACCGACGCACAAGTCCAGGCCGCCGAAGAAGACGAAGACGACACGCCCATCCAGCAAATCCCCAAGAAAGACGGCATCGACGAGATCCTCCGCCCCTCACAACTCCTAAACCGTACCTTACCCACCCCCACCGGCACCTCCCCCGCCCCAACACCGCCATCCAAACCCCTCCCCTTCGACCCCCCACCGCACGCCTCCTCGCAGAAGAAATCAACAAAATGGTTCCAAGTAACCGTTGACCGCTCGCGTGCCGTGCACCCCGATTTCATCGAACGCCAACCCTACTGGAAGCAATTCCACCCGATGAAGAGCATGGCGCAGGTGGATTTGGAAAAGAGCGTGCCGCATGTGGGGCTGAGCGATGTGAGCAAGAGGCCGCCAAATGCGTATCGCACGCCGGCAAGAGTGCTCAGGGTGATGAATGAGTATGTGGAGAAGAGGATGCCGAGTCTCAGGGGGATTGTGGAGGGCGGGGAGAATGAGAGGGGGTTTGAGGAGAGGAGGGGGAGGGGGTGAAGATGGATATAACAGCGCCGGTAGGGCGACGAACTGGAATGGTCGCGTTCCGGGTGACACATACATGGAGACATGGTCCCAGCCGACAGCTTCGAAAAGACTGTCTACGCACAATCCCGTGAGACGGCTCGCGGGGAGCTCAGCGACGAGGTTGACTGAAAGCACGCTTCACGGCAGTGATCAAGCGTAGGAGACCCATAATCGGTTTGACGACGCAACACATACCCACGCCTCACTCCTCGAGGAAAGCACATCGCGCTGGATCGTACATTCTCTCAACCTCCAGCACACATTTCCCATCGAAACGAAAGCGAACGACCCAAAGCTACGGCAAACTCTCATGCCAGCCGCCGTTATGAGGACGCATCGATTTGAACTCACACGCTCGAGCTCTCGACCAGACTCCTGATTTAGATGTGATGGTTCCAGTCTTAAGTCGATCCTCGGTTGTTATACTATCTAGGTAACACGACCAAGAATTGACTAAGGCTGGAACAATCTACACCGACAGGGATCTGTATTCGAAGAGGGCGCGCGTACTAGGCGTGTGGTCATCGTGTCTGATGCTCTTCAGAAGGCGCTACAACCTCTCTATGTGGACTGGCGTGCCGAGCAGTCGCGAAGCATTCTCATTCATTGCCTTAGCCACCATTTGCAAAAATCCTCCATGCGGATGGCCGTTGAAAACTCATCACCATTCCGACAGATAAACTTCATCATGCATGCATGTAGCATGAGCCGCAGTGGAGCACCCAACCGCTCCGCAGCCAGATGACAACTCAGCGACTCCGACGCCCACGTCTAGCACGATGGAGCCACGCACATGCGACGTATCCATTTCATCCAGCACTCCGACCAGACACTTCCGACAAGCGCCGAACGCTCTTACCGCCGCTTTCTGATTCCTCGACGTATCCTTCACAGGCCGTTGCGAAAGATCCGAACACGGTGTCGGTGAGCCACATTGCTTCATACACTACACTCCATGAAGCAATACGACTGTCCTCATCCTTCTTTCGACCCTCGTAGCCTGGAAAGGCATTCTGAGGCGGGCAGACACGGAACAAACAGGACCCAACACCATCCCAACCTGCGTAAACTGCTCTACAACTGATCCGCATCACGCCCTAGTCACATGATCCACTTCTTCCACATCGTGCACGTGTGCGAAGTGGAACAAGTGGATCATGTGATTGGGGCATGGTGTTTATGAGTTGTAGGGTTAGTTTGAATGGCGGTTTGGGGTTTTATTAGACTAGCTGTGTGTTGGAGCGCGGGTGAACAGGTACGGCATCAGCGTATGGGATCAGCGAGGTTTGAATTTTGAAACTTGCACTCCTTAGGGGCCTCGTAGAGACTTCAGAGGAATGCAAGTTCCAAACTTCACACAGCGCTGACCCCATACGCGGGTGTGTACAAGGAGATGGTGTGATAGCGAGCGATGAGCTTTTGGGATGGTATCCTGAGTGTTGTGGGGATGTTTAGCTGATGGCGGCTTTCTTGTACGCTCGCACAAGTTTATAGATATTAAGTAGGGTTTGAGGTACAGGTTATAGGCAGCTCATGTGGCATGTGAGATGTTAGACAGCGCATATATCATCCGCAGCGTGGACACGAACACACTGTACGTGCAAGCAAAGATTAGAACAGAGTTGATTGTTGACATTACCACGTATTATTAAATCTACACTTTTGTAGTCCTACATCAACTAGAAGGTATCCCCAACCGAACCGCACCTCAGACATGAAATAAGCAGGCGCCTTATACATACATGACGAACCGAAAAAAAAATCAGGGGTATAACCTCCACAAACTCCATTACCATGCCACGCTTGAAACGCCCACTTTTGTTCATGACCAAATACGTACATGCGTAATGAAACAAGTATACGACCCACCAGGACAGACCCATAGAGAAATCTTCGTCAGTCACTAAGATCGATAATCTCAACCTCAGCCGGAACCGACCGACGCGCAGCAACAGGTTCAGGCGTGGCACTCGAAACACCCTCTCTTACTTCAGCTTTAGGTATCCACTTCCCATCCTGGCGAACCATAATATGGCGCGTATTTGCTCGTCCATGGGCCTCGAGCTGCTTCTTGACCTCTTCCATGAAGCCATCTACAAAAAGCATCTGTGGCCGGGCGTCAGATTTGCAGATAGGGCATTTCCACTGATCGGCTACGGATGCGTCGCCCTTGCGCGGCCGGGATTGGAGGAACGTTTCCAGGTCGAAGCAGTCGTTGTGCGGACAGGCTTTGCTGCGGACGGGGATGTCGCACATTTTGGCTTGGCTGAAGGGGTCGAAGAGGCCGATGGTGAGGGTGCTTTCGACGACGCTGATTTCGTCGTCGTCGACGGCGGAGAGTTTGTTTTTGATGCCTTGTAGGACTTTGTCTGCGGGGACGCGACTCTGGTTTAGACAATGTTTTACGATGGACGCGTGGGATGAGACAACCATGGCCTCGATGGCGAGCATGTAGTTGAGATGAGATTTCTCGCCGGACCGAGCCATTACTGCAATCTCCAAAACGTTCTCGCCTTCTCTCAGCAGGCCCGTGAGGTCGATGGGCATGTCTTTTCCATAGTGGATCTTCTTCCGCAGTTCGAGAGGAGTGTCGTTGACCGTGTAATATGAGTGAGGTATCCAGGACGTATCGGCGACAGCCCAGCGTTCCTCCGTCCACTCAGGCTCCGGCCATTTGACGCAACGTAAACGAGCAAATTTCGTGGTCTCGTTGATGTTCACAGTACCAGGTCCACCCATTTGATCTGGAATAGTTTTCCCAATCCTCTGCATATCATAAGGTGTCAGGGTGATTGTCCATTTCTCAATCGCACGGCCTGGCGAGGACAACCGCGTTGGGGGTTTGAGGAAGTTCTGACAAAATGTGTACAGCGGCGAGAATTTGGATTGCGCACGAAGAACTGGACTTCTGAGATGAGCTTGGTGCAGCCCAAAGCGTGCTGGATTGGGTACACGCTGTTGTGGTTGTTGCCAGCCAGCAGCAGGAAGCAAGGGCACCCCACGTGGAGGCGGCGCCACCCCTGTAGATTGGGCAGGGCGTGCGGGAGGACGACCAGGCCCACGCGACTGCTGTATAGCAGCTTGTGCCGAACCCTGGTCAACCGATCTGGTCGTGCGCGGTGGCATTTGTTGGGGATGGTTGAAAGGCGGAACAGCGGGCGAGCTGGTTTGTACTCGTTGTGGTTGGGGCTGGGCTTGCACTTGCTGCGGTTGCGGTGGAGGGGCCTGGTGGGTCTGTACCTGTTGCTGAGGTTGGGGAGCGCCGTACGTATGATCAGCCAATGAAGCGCCGTTCTTGCGAAGGTTAGCCTCGAAAGCCTCGACTAGCGCTCTCAGGTTAGAGCCCCAAACTCGTTCCTCGTCGTGTTTTAATTGTTGGCTCTGCTCAGGCGTCTCCGTAGCTGAGGAAGCATGCCGTGAGTAGTGGTAGTGTTGATTCTGCTCGAAGACACCAACTATGTCGTTCTCGAACTTTGCAAGCAAGGGTTTGACATTAGGATTCGAGACCACCGCGCGGCAAATACACCGCAGAAAAGCGGTGAAGAGCAGACGCTGGAAAGTGAGAGAATGAATGCGGAGTTCGACAACAAGTTCTCGGACGAGGGGCGGGAATCGACGGTGCTCGCATATCGCCTTCAGTTGGTTGTAGTTGGGCGATTGGTCAACAAACTGTTTGAAAAGCTGTGCTTGGTACTCGAATGTGGCCGGCCACATGGCTGCAATTTGCTGCATCGGGTATGGGAAATGGGAGAAGAAGTGAAGATAACTAGGCGATAGTATGTGGTTTGCATCAAGAACATCGTGCAATATCCTCTGCGCTTGTTGTAAACCTGGCAACGACTTCAACCCCGGCGGCAGCATGTGAGGGGCGTGGGTCATCAGGCAGTAACATTGATGCATAGTAAGATAGGGCCAGTCTGACAGCTCAACAGCGTTCTGCAGCACAAGAAAGCGTTTCCTGTCCTGAGAGGCAGGCGATATTGGGGGTGCTGATGCCTGGAATTGCCCTAAGATCTGCAGACAGTCTTTCTTTGTGTACCAGCCCTGGCTCATGAAATCAGGGGCCAAAGGGGTTGTAGTCGTGTTATCAGGCTGTACGGAGCGAGATACAGGCCGGGATACTGGGTCTTGCGAGACTGCTTGTGGCAGCCCATAGGGCGAGTAGGGCTGAGGAGGTGTTCTACTGAGGCGCGGATCTTGGAATAGCATGCCCTGGGGCAGTTGTGGCGATGCCATCATGCCGAGCGACGGGCTGCGATTAACGGTCTGACCCATCTGACCCAGCATAGGACTGCCGATCTGTGAGTAGTGGCCGGACGGTCGACGCGGAAGGTCCGGCGGAGGATTCGTCGGGTTTGCTACCGGCCCTGCATAAGCCTCACTGCGCCTCCGCTTGTCCATTTGTTGCGCATATCCTTCGTTGACTCTTTTTGCAGGAGCAGTCTCGTGCGGTGCTGGGGGCGGACAGCGCGATGTCTCCTCGCTTGGCGTGGGCGACGGAAGCACGCGGGCTGCCGAATGCCCGTGGTTGGCGCTGTTCTGGTGGGCGACGACATTTGGGAGCTGGGGAGACGTCGAGTTGGATAGTGGCTGCGGCTCGGTCTCGACGGTTGGGCGCGTGATCAGGTTCTCTGCGGGTGCGTGTGTGGAGGAGGGAACAGTAAACCTGGGCTGCTTGCGAGGCCTTCCGCGACCGCGCACGGTGAAGGGTAGTGGGTTTTGTGTGAGTTCGGCAGGAACGATGGGCGGCTGGGCAGGCGCGCTGGAGGGCAGCGGCGTCATCCAGCTCTTCTGTCGGCCCCCAAGGTTGCCCAGCGCATAGTTGAGCGTCTGGGCTGTCGCATCGTCTGGCACTCCTGGGGTCATGGCGTGACTCCCGGTGTGGTACATGCCGCTTTGTTATGTTGTGTATATTCGCTTGAGGGTACGCGCTGGTCGCCTTCGAGTGCTGGACATGGGCGAGTTGGAAT